TGTTTTGACATGGTGGGTGTGCACTGGTAATGAAACAAAAAAGTATCATGACTTGGTGATATGTGACGTATTCAACATGCTGTCAAGTTATAACGGTCAGGGTTTCCCTGGTGGCGCAGTGGTTAAGAATCCACCTGCCAGTGCAGGGGACACGGGTTCGAGCCCTGGTCCGGGAGTATCCCACATGCCACGGAGCAACTAAGCCTGTGCGCCACAACTACTGAGCCTATGCTCTAGAGCCCACGAGCCACAACTACTGAAGCCCGCGTGCGTAGAGAGCCCGTGGTCCACAACAAGAGAAGCCACTGCAGTGAGAAGCCTGCGCACCGCAACAAAGAGTAGCCCCTGCTTGCAGCAACTAGAGAAAGCCCGCGCGTAGCAACGAAGACCCAACGCAGCCAAAATAAAATAAATAAATAAATAAATAAGTAAATTTATTTTTTTAAAAAGTTATGGGCTTCCCTGGTGGCGCAGTGGTTGGGGGTCCACCTGCCGATGCGTGGGGCGCGGGTTCGTGCCCTGGTCTGGGGGGATCCCACGTGCCGCGGAGCGGCTGGGCCCGTGGGCCATGGCCACTGGGCCTGCGCGTCCGGAGCCTGTGCTCCCCGGCAGGAGGGGCCACGGCAGTGAGAGGCCCACGTACCGCAAAAAAAAAAAAAAAAAAAAAAAAAAGTTATACTGTCACAAATTCATGGTATGCTGAGCATGAGTGTAAAGTGATGAGAGAGCCACAGCCACACCTACGGTCTCTTCTGCTTCTGCTCAGCTCTCAAAGCAGCCAGTGTAATACGTAAATGAGTGAGCATGGCTGTGTTCTGATAAAACTTTATGGATGCTGAAATTAGAATTGTATATAATTCCCGTGTCATGAAATGTTATTTCATTTTTTTTCCCCCAACCGTTTAAAAAATGTAAAGACCATTCTTAGCTTGCTGACTATTACAAAAACAGGTAGCAGGGTAGATTTGGTCCTTGGTTATATTTTAATGACCACTGCTCTAGATTTCATCATTAGCTTTTGTTTTTCTTCATGTCTCTTGATTTAAGAAAGGCCTGGAGAGCTGATGGATGTTCTTTGCTGGTCTTTTGGTAGGTCTGTGTCTCCATAGGCCTTTCTTCTAAACGGAAAGCCTGATGGGGCATTCGGTACGTGAGTGGGCCGTGTGCATCTCTAGGTGTCCAGCAGCATAGTAGTTCTTAACCTTCTTTGTGCCATGCACCCCCTTTGGCAGTCTGGTGAAGCCCATGGGCCCCTTATGATAATGTTTTTTTTTTTTTTTTTTTTTTTTTTGTGGTACGCAGACCTCTGACTGCTGTGGCCTCTCCCATTGCGGAGCACAGGCTCTGGACGCGCAGGCTCAGTGGCCATGGCTCACGGGCCCACCCGCTCCGCAGCATGTGGGATCCTCCCGGTCCGAGGCACGAACCCGTGTCCCCTGCATCGGCAGGCGGACTCTCAACTACTGCGCCACCAGGGAAGCCCATGATAATGTTTTTAAGTGTATAAAATATGTTAGATTACAATGGAAATTGATCTTATTGAAACACAGTTATCAAAATATTAAAGAACAAATGGGGTAAGAGTAATATGCTCTTTATAAATGCACTAAATAGTAAGATCCAGCATTAGGTCTAATTATTGTAATTTTGACATAGTGATGACATAAAAGATATTTTGAGGTCTGCAATAACGATAATATATGAAAGTGCCTGTGATTTCTAGTGGTGACAGTCGCAGCTGCTGCTAATACTACTGTGGTTTGTTGCTGTAGTTCAAAGCAGAAGAAAATGCCAAATGTCAATTTAGAGGTTGATGAAAATAATGTGTGATTTTTATTACTATCCAGGTTCATTGAATTCTATCCATAGACCCTTGGCCAGAGGCAGGGCGGGGTGGGGCCATCTCTGGACAGCGGGTTAAGAACCCTGATACAGAGTGAGTGGATAGAGTGTTTTTCTCGTGGGAGTTGCTCCCAAATGTCAGAATATGGAGGAATTCACTCTGGGGTCTTAGTACCCATACAAGAAGACTTGGCTTTTATCAGACATTTTAATACATTTCTTTAGCGAATAGCTCTCTTTTTGCCCAGGGTAAATTTTTTTTTTTTAATAAATTTTAAAAATTTATTTATTTATGGCTGCATTGGGTCTTTGTTGCTGCGTGCGGGCTTTCTCTAGTTGCGGCGAGAGGGGGCTACTCTTCGTGGCGGTGCACGGGCTTCTCATTGTGGTGGCTTCTAGTTGCGGAGCATGGGCTCTAGGCATGCGGGTTCAATAGTTGTGGCACTTGGGCTCAGTAGTTGTGGCACTTGGGCTCTAGAGTGCAGGCTCAGTAGTTGTGGCACACGGGCTTAGTTGCTCCGGGCATGTGGGATCTTCCCGGAGCAGGGCTCGAACCCGTGTCCCCTGCATCAGCAGGCGGTTTCTTAACCACTGTGCCACCAGGGAAGTCCCCAGCCCAGGGTAAATTTTTGTTTGATTGTATTCTGCGTTGGGGGTGGGTGGGCAGAGATAATTTGTTACAATAGCTTTGTTTGTTTTTATGTAGAATTTTAAGTCATTCTCATTTATAGCCCTATTTCTCACACTGCACCCTAAGCCCAACCTCCAAATTATAACTTGCTTTTTGTTTGTCAAAAATTTGCCAGGAATTTGTTGAACTTTTCTTAATTCCTAATGAGTGTACTTCATTCCCTGTCTCCTATACACACACTATTTTAGGACTATTAATTTTTATATTTCTATACTTTTATTTCTGTGGAATTTCAGGAGGCCATATGAGTTCTATATACCATCCTGAATCAAATGCAAGAAAATCTTTTACTTAAAAAAGAAGAAGAATACTTTATGTAGACTCCTTTATAAAACATAAAAAAGTTGTAATATCGTGTTCTTATACTTTCCAAATTATATAGAGAACAACAGACATCGAAGCAATGAGTTTATAGTTAGCTGCATGAAGAAAAGTATTTAAGCAATCATTTGTATATTGTGTATTTCGGTGCCCTCTGAAAAGAATCATATCAATTAGGAATACTTCTCTATAGTAAAACAATGTAGTTGATGATTGTCCTCGTTTTATAATGTTGCCAAGTCATCTCATCTCTTCATTTAATACAAATAAGTCAGTTTTGTTACTACTTGTAGTAAAAGGGGTCTGCTTCAGTACTGCAGGCCCCCACATCTTGTGCGGGGGAGGGGGAACACATACTCACCCATTTGGATCCTCGTAATATTTTGATTCAGATGCACTGAATAGAATCTCATGTTTGATTGAGCTAAACTTCTTGTGAACTGTTGCATATTGAATGATTTTTTGGTTCTCCCTGTGCCTACTAAATAAAATTAAAGGCCAAAACCAAGGTAAACATAATAATTATGACAGGAGTCAGCCAACTTTTTCATAAAGGACCAGATAAGTGCATCTTTTTGACTTTGTGAGCCATATCGTCTCTGTCACAGCTAAGCAGCCATAGATTAATGAATGAATGAGTGTGACTGTTCCAGCAAGACGTTATTTATAAAAGCAGGAGGCCAGGCCTAACCCCTAACCCGAAGTTGTTTACAAGTTGGTATGTTGGAAAAGGGTGCTCTTTTCTTGAGGACTCAGAGATGAGAAACTTGGAGGCTTGAAGATTGGATTGGTTGGTAGTCTTGTCTGGTGTAATGAAAATAAGATGTACAGTGAAGCCCTTGTCAGGTTAGGCAATCTTCTCAGCTTGTTCGGATTCTTCAGGCAGGGGGCAAATTCATTTTCTAGGCCATAGTCAACCCTCCAGTGGTACAGCTTCTAGCTTGGAAGTTAAACATCAAAGGTAAACCATTAAACTGGACCACCTAGTATATTTTGTGATTCTCCTTTGCTGCCTTCCTCGGTTATGTGAGGGTAGATGAGACCAGCCCCAAAAGCTCTGGAGCAAGGTAATTGGCCAATTTAATGACAGACATATCATCTCTTCCTGAGATCAGAATAGGAGCCCTTTGGCAGTTGGGCTTTTTTAAAATAAACTTTTTAATTGAAATGTATTGGTTGTAATTATACAGCTTGATACATCTGTGTCACCAAGTATAGACACCTCTGTAACCAGTACTTGGAAATTTTTATATGCAAAGTGCTTTAAGTTGTCTGCTTTGATCACCTCGGGCTGCTTCAGGGTCAGCTGCCATACCTGAGTTCCTGTTCCAGTGGATGCCTGTGTTTGTAGCTGTCACCTTGGGGCAGCTCCAACAACAGAGTTAGAAGACTATTTCTGAAAGTAAAATTAACTTAATTACAGAGAATGGGGCAATTCTTTCTTCTCATCATTGCTGCCACATCCTATGCCACCAGTGCTGTGAGTTATAGGGAAAAAATAGGCTTTGGTATGTGTGATGTATCTCACTTAGTATAGTGGATTTTCAATTGGGCCATTACAGTGTACTTGTTCTTTTATGAAATGACGATCTATTGAGTTAAACCGTTTAAAAGTATAGTCCATGCAAAGGGAGAAATAAAATGTGAACTATAATTCTGTAGTTCTTTTATATCAAATAATTAAGATATAGGGCTTTAGTCTTTCTTTTTTCTTTTCTTTTTTTCTTTTATTGGGGTATAGTTGTTTTACAATGTTGTGTTAGTTTCTACCGTACAGCGAAGTGGAGTTCCCCGTGCTATACAGCAGGTTCTCATTAGTTATTTATTTTATACAGATTAGTGTATGTATGTCAATCCCAATCTTCCAATTCATCTCACCCCCCGGGGCTTTAGTCTTTCAATTCAGTAAAGTACAGTATACAAATTCAGAATCTTCCCTCAAACCATCTTTAAGGATAGATTTTTTTTTTTTTTTAATTCTGGAAAATTTCATATACTCAAGAACGGAAAGAATAGCATATGAAACCCCTACGTACCCATCTCCCAACCTCAACAATGATCATGGCCAGTCTTTGCTTCTTCTTTATAACCAGATTGTTTTGAATCATGCTAGGTTTTAAAAATTGAAAATGTAATTTTCACTTAGTTTAGGCACTTTGGAAACTCTACATCACGGAAGAATTTGCAACGTAGAAAATCAAGAAGTAAGGACTATGATGTATATAGTGATAATGATATCTGCAGTCAGGAATCAGAAGATAATTTTGCTAAAGAGCTTCAACAATATATACAAGCTAAAGAGATGGCAAATGCTACTCAATCCTTATCGCTTCCTGAAGAATCTGTGAAGAAAGAGGGAGCAAAGGATATCCAGAAAGGTAAAGGTAAGAGTCCAATTATTTTATCATTTAAAGTTATCTATAGAAGCAGTCACATTTGTCCACATATGGATGGGGGGGGAGGGGTTCGCTTGCATTTTATCTCATGATAAGATCACGTTTTCCTGGATCTTTACACCAAATGTGAGCTGGTCACTTGGTGTACAGATGCTTAGTTTGCGGGAGGAGCGGAGAGTGCAGGAGGGTTTTCAAAGGACGTGACTACTTTGAAAGGGAGAATGCTAAATCCCTGTCCTCAGCATGTGTGAAGGACAGGAAATACCTGTTTGCTGTCCTCTAAAGAAGAATGGGTTTAATTAATTTCTGGGATGGTAGTGTGGCCGACTAAACTCAGAAATATATTCTTTTAGATGACTAAAATGAAATTAAGCCACAGATAGGAGAATAAATGGCAATTGTAAATGAAATTCTTAATCTTCTCATTTTATTTTTTTTCCCTCTTTAAATGTTCTTCTATTTAAAATGGATCTATAGATAAACTTAATATATAAAATGTTTTCAGGGAGTAATCTGACAGCCATATATGAGGTCATTTAAAACATTTGAAGGTTTTACTGTTACAGTGCTATAGCAGTTCCTACTTAGATCCACTGTACTCTGAACACTTCAGAAGGATCTGGCTGATGGCTAGCAAGATTGATTTCGTGAATTATCTTGTTTTTTTCCCCAATAATGCCTTACATATTTTCAGAAAGAGTTAATTTGGGATCCACAGTATATTAATCCAAGAGCTTCTAGAAAGACAGGTCCGCATCATCCTAGTTATTACGCTTCGAGCAGTGGAGACGTTTTCCTGGATTATTAGAGAATATACTTCTTAAGAGTAAACTGCTATTGGACTTTCATATCACCTTTAAACGGAACTTTCTTGCTTTTAGCTGTTAAACAAAAAAATAAAAATAAAAACCTTAAAGCTGTTCGCAAGAATGGTAAACAGAAGAAAATGAAGCGAAAATGGCCTGGCACTGGAGACAAGGGATCAGACGCTTCCCTGAGGGAGAGTGGCTCACAGGAACAGGTATGAGAGTACACGCCTGTCTGCGGAGGGCACTGCCTGCCCCTGGGTTTTTATCTTGCACCCCAATGGGATCTCCTCTTACCTCCAGTGCGCTCCGTGGGTTCTTCTTTCTCACTGTTGGGTGGCCTTCCCTCACACTCGTTACCTGCCAGCGCCCACTCAGGCCTTAGTGTCGTACCTGTTGCCCCTGTATACACGCACACAAGCCCCCTGATTTCTGAGGGCTGTGCAAAAACAGATATGGGAGGCAGAGAGAATATAAGATAGCCATGAGGACATTCCAAAGGCCACAGAGTCTTACAGAGTTTCTACTCTTAAAGTCCCTGGTCTGTTGGTTTTTGACTCCCTCTGGAAATTAAAAATGAATATTTTTGAGCTTTGACCTTATCAGACACTCCCTACCCTCCTGGAATTTTGATTTTGCTTTGTAGAAGTTCCTCTTCCTTGGTCTGCAGATGTAATCAGGGTAGAACAATAAGTGAGTCCTCTGGACTCTGCTTTTCTGAGGGCTTCCAAGCTGGATGGCCACCTTTTTGTTGTTAGGCTTGGTTCAGGAGGCAAGAGTTGAGGGTGGTAAACTGTTAGAAATACCAAATATTATAGATTGAAATGTATTTATATAAAATCTGTTTTACAAAGGAGGAATCCGAAGCCCTAGGGTTTAGGTAACTGCCTGTAGTTACAAGGGCCAGGCAGTTTCCCTTTCCTTTGTTTTTTTTAAAAATATATATTTATTTACATATTTATTTATTTATTTGGCTGCGCCAGGTCTTAGTTGATTCATGCGGGATATTTAGTTGCGGCATGTGGGATCTAGTTCCCTGACAACCTGGGCCCCCTGCACTGGGTGCGTGGAGTCTTAACCACTGGACCACAAGCAAAGTCCCCCCTTTTGTTTGGTTTAGATTGACTCAAATGATTATTCAGCCAAAGCTGACAGCCCTGCTACATGAGGAACAGATGCAAACATATATGTTAGAATTTAATAACATAATCAAAATAAAACCCAGAGTTAAAACTGACATTTATTAGACACATAATTTTGATGGTGCTAAGTGGAAGTCTGACATTATTGCAAAGTAGATCACATAAATATACAGCCAGCTCCCTTCTTTGTACTTACTGAATTCCTAAGACTGTATGCGGGTATATGGCACATAGAAGCTGTAAGTTGTACCACAAGTTAACACACTAAAAGTGATTTATGTTTCTAAAGACGTAAAATGAAATTCCCCTTTTGTTTTCATACCTTTATTGCCATTTTTGAGGGTATATTTCTAATTATGTTTGTTAATTTGAGCTCGTCAGTACACTCAGCTCACACGTAGTGAGCATCTCGCTGAAATGAAAGATCACACTACTTTTGCTTTACCTTATGATTTTGAGGTTTGTCCCCATTGTTCTAAAGAGCCTTGTTCTTAGACTTCACTTTTTAATCAGAAGTAGTGGTACTTTCCTTCTAAAATTTTTAAATTAATTTTTTAAAACGAGTGATGGAATGCTGTTGAAACTGACAAAACATTAATTTTTTTCAACTGATGTACAAAAGTCCACATCTTACCTGCAGGCCAATTCAGAAGAGTTACTTTTTAATGTTGTTAAAGGTGGTTTAAAATAATTTTGTACGGCCTTCCCTGGTGGCGCAGTGGATAAGAATCTGCCTGCCAATGCAGGGGACAGAGGTTTGATCCCTGGTCTGGGAAGATCCCATATGCCGTGGAGCAGCTAAGCCCATGCACCACAACTACTGAGCCTGCACTCTAGAGCCTGCGAACCACAACTACTGAAGCCCGTGTGCCTAGGGCCCGTGCTGCACAACAAGAGAAGCCACTGCAGTGAGAATCCCGCGCACCGCAATAGAGAGTAGCCCCCGCTCGACGCAACTAGAGAAAGCCTGCACACAGCAACGAAGACCCAATGCAGCCAAAAATAAATAAATAAATAAATAATTTAAAGAACACATTTTTTTGTACAATGGAATAAAATATTTAATTTTTTATTTCTCACATTTAGTTTTTTGTTTTTGTTTTCAAAGGATGGTAAACCTAAAGAGAAGCAGCAGCCTGTGAGAATGAGTCAGGGATTCATCAACCAACATACGGTGCAACGCCAGGGAAAACAAATTTGTAAATATTTTCTTGAAAGGAAATGTATTAAGGTATAAAAAATGTGTAAGCAAAAATATACTAAAATGTAAGATATAGCAAAAATGTACTAAAACCAACTCCTCTTTCCATTAGACACTCCAAAAGCATACCTGTACAATTTTAGAACTGTTTCCTTCTGGGAAAGTTTCAATTAGGAAATTTTACTGAAATATTCTTTTATGTTTAGGAGAGAGAGTAGATAATTTTTTTTTAAATGCTTTGTGTTAAAAATATTAAGGACTTGACAGATTTTTAAGCAGATATATATATGTGATGTGGTTATGATAGCTCGTTAAGAATTAGACTGTACTGCTTCTAAGACTTTGTTTTCTTCTAGAATCATTAAGTAGGAATTGTAATGACTTAACTATGAGGAATAATGGTTTTTCCTTGTCCCTTCTTTTGGCCCAGGGAGACCAGTGTAAATTTGATCATGCTGCAGAGATAGAGAAGAAAAAGGAAATGTGTAAGTTTTATGTACAAGGATATTGTACCAGAGGTGAAAACTGCCTGTATTTGCATAATATCCTTTATCACAAGGTACAGTAACTTTACTTTTCATAAACATTTACATGAATGTAAAATTTTGAGTGAAACCAAGTGTTTTAGCCATGGCAAAATTACATTATCCAAGCTCAACTCAGTATTGAAGTGATTAAATTGTACACACATTTTTTTTCTTTTTCCCCCAAGCAAGAGTCTTTAGAAATTCTCTCAAATGCACATCCTCTCAACCTGGGTAGTGTAACAGCTTCATGAGACCTATTCAGACCTATCCAGAAAAACTTCTCTGAATTTCTGCTGTGACCTCCACTAATTGAATCTATATTCATGTAATCTACTTCATAAAAGAGGCAGGAATTGCACAGTTTGGGAGTACTCGTTTTCTGCACATTCAGTATTGTTTAGAGGTACATTGTCCCTTAATTTGAAGAATAACCCTAACTCTTCAGTGTAAATGGTCTAGACATGTTGTAAAAATACAAACATAAACATTTTAGGGTAATTGGACCTTTGATCAACACAAAAGTTGTTTTCCTTCAGTCGTTCAATAGAAGGAATCGCAAATTCTAACTTGAGAAATTTTTCCTAGAAAACAATATCGAAGCTGTATAAATTGTTCCTATTTTATACAAGCCTAATATATGAAGGATCCAGATTTGTAAGACATATCATTGTCATTGACTTTAATCCCCCCACCGCAAAAGAATGCTTTAAAAATAATCCCATTTCTCAAAGTATTTAAAATACACATCCCTCTCTTTTATTGGTGAAATATACCTGTAGTTTATTTTAAGAATGGATATGAAGGAAAAAAGTGTCCTGTGATAGCCAATAAACTTTATAATCATCCTAAAATTAGATTTTTCTTATAACCCAGTTAACAATTTACTGTCTCATATTTTAAATAGAGAATTTGTTTCTACTAGTAGAAAAGAACTTTACATAGGAAAAATAAAGTTACTAAATTAATAACAAATTCTTTTAGTTGGATTACGGTTGTTCTTTTCCTTAACATTTGGGTTAACATGAATATCCTTGCAAGTTTTACCATACAGGAGCAAAATGTTATCAGGGAGAACATTGCAAGTTTTCACATGCTCCCCTGACTGCTGAAACACAAGAACTGTTGGCTAAAGTAAGTATAATTTTAATTTTTCTTTCTCTCTTTTTTTTTTTTAATTTTTAAAATTTTTTATTTTATTTTTGGCTGTGTTGGGTCTTCGTTGCTGTGCACGGGCTTTCTCTAGTTGCGGTGAGCGGGGGCCACTCTTCGTTGCGGTGCGCAGGCCTCTCATTGCAGTGGCCTCTCCTATTGTGGAGCACGGGCTGTAGGCGCACAGGCTTCAGTAGTTGTGGCACGTGGGCTCAGTAGTTGTGGCTCGCGGGCTCTAGAGCGCAGGCTCAGTAGTTGTGGCGCATGGGCCTAGTTGCTCCGCGGCATGTGGGATCCTCCCGGACCAGGGCTTGAACCCGTGTCCCCTGCATTGGCAGGCAGATTCGTAACCACTGCGCCCCCAGGGAAGGCCCTGTTTTTCTTTTTTAAAGAATACTTTTGAACTAAGGGTGGAATTTGAAAAGACACTCACAGTTTCTTAAGGAGAGTGCCTCATAGGGTAGCATGTGGGTTATATTAGGACTGATAATCTAAGGATTTACTTCAGTTTAGAAAATTCATTTGTATATTTTTCCTTGTAGCTTAAAGGAAAACTTATACTTACTGCTGGTGTAAATTGGAATGTTCTTAAAACCTTCAGTGTAGTTAGCAACCTTAGTAGCTAAGTTAACCAGAGGAAAACAAAGCAAATAGGAGAAATAGTACTCCTGTTATACTCTTAGAAGGAAAGTTAAGGATCATCAGTTGATAAATATTTTAGGGTTACATCAAAACATACTTAAGTAGTTATTTCAAAGTTTTCTTCAAATATTCTTTCAGGTGTAAGAAAAGATAATTGAAAAATAATAGTCGTTTATGTTCTTTCATTTCCCATGTATTAATTGGAGCTAGTCTCTTCAAAATTAAACTGAAATATAAGTGAAAATAAAAGACTCTTTTAAAACCAAACCATTCCATCTTGCGGCAGAAGTTCCCTTGACTATATTGCAAATATTAGAAAGTCAAAGGTCCTTGTTTCTGGATATTTTTAGTTGTGAAATATGAAGGGTTACCCTGGAATTAGAAATTATACCAAATATTTGGTTGTTCATTAGCATGAATGTATGTGGAAAAAACGATAAATGTAAAAGTCATTTTCCAGTTCCACTTATAGTAAATATTATTAGATAATTACTAGGATGAATATTATTGGAATCTTTAGAAAATTATAAGAGTATGATGATGTACCTGAATTCAATGCATAAAAATGATTGCGTGATTTTTTTTCCCCCAAACTAGGCTTTGGATCCTGAAAAGAAGTCGTCATGAAAGTAAAATGCATAAAAAAGGTAAAATTAATGATTTAACACTTTTTTCCCCCTCTGAAATGTCTCTAGAAATTGGCATGAGGACATAGGCCTTTTTACATTTTCTCAAATAGAAGTCTTTTTCTCTCTCCTACCCCACTAAAAACTTATAAAATATTTGATACATATAAATAGATATATATGTGGATCTCCATGGACCTGCTTCCCTTTCTGGATTTGTCACTGTCTTTTTGTGTTTTTATTCTTCTGTTTTGTTTCTTTGTAAATTTACCAAATGTGTATGATTCACCAAATATTATATTTAGTTTTGCTTGAGTTTGGATATTAAACAGTATCACATTCTATACTTCTTGGTGACTTGCTGTTTTCGTTCAGCATTGGGCTTGTAAGATTCATTCACGTATATGCATGCAGCTGTCATTCATTTTTACTCTTGTATAGCATTTATTCTATGAATACGTTACAAATTATTTAGTCATTCTACTATTGACGGACATTGAGGTTATTTTCAATTTTTAAAATATAAACTGTTATTATAAATAACTGTTTCACATGTCTTCTGATGAACATGTGTGTGCGTTGTCCTGAGCGTACCAAGGAATAGAATTGTTGTATCATCTTAAAACTTAAGATAATACCAATCTTTTCTGAAGTACTTATAACAGTTTTTATTGCCATCAACTGTGTAAAAGAATTTCTGTTGCTCCCCACTCACTAATGCTTTATATTGTCACGACTTTAAATTTTTGGACCAATTTAGTGGGTGTAAAAATGGTGCCACATGGCTGTATTTTCATCAAGTTCAGCATTTTTTCTTAAGCTTACTGGTTTTTGAGCTTCATCTCCAGGGAAATGCCATTAATGTCTTTTGCCTATGCTTCTGTTGGGCTGATTGTCCTTTATAAATTGATTTTTATATACAAATTGTTTGTGACGTATGTGTGACAAGTCTTCTCCCATTTTGTGGGCTGTCTTTTCACTTTTTTAAAGGCGTTTCAGTGAGCAGAATTACTTGTTTTGGCGATCTTTTTCTTTATGGTAGGTTTTGTGTTTTGCGTCTTACTCAAGAAATCCTTCCCTATCATGAGGCTGTAAAGTACTTTAATTTTTTCTAGGTTTTTGGAGTTAAGTAAATATTTCTTTTTCCATGCATCTGCAGATTGGCTGGGAGTAGGCTGATACAGGCTGGCTCTGGCTGGGTTGGTTGTGCTTCATAAAGCAGAACCACTGGGATGGTTCTGCCCCACATTTGTCTCACTCTCCTCCTGGGACCAAGGGGCTAGCTGGGGCATGTTTTTCTCATGGCATTGGCAGAAGGACAAGAGGGCAAGGCCCTGTTTGTATCACATCATGTTTACTTACAACCCATTGACCAAAGTAAGTCACATAGGCAAGCCCAAAGTTAGGGAGTAGGAAAGTATACTCTACTTTCTGTACTTTCCATGTGGGAGGAGTTGCTAAATTACATGAAAAATTTTCTGAAGGGACCTTGAGGGAATTATGCTAAGCAGAATAAGTCAGAGAAAGAAATATACCGTTACGGTTTCACTTATGTCTAAAAAACAGAACAAATGGACAAATAAAACCAAACCAAAATCATAGATTCAGAGAACAGAGTGGTGGTTACCAGAGGGGATGGGGATTGGGCAGTGGGTGAAACAGGTGAAGAAAGGGGTCAAGAGGTACAAACTTCCAGCAATAAAATAAATAGGTCATGGGGCTGTAGTGTACGGCATGGTGACTATAGTCAGTAATGTTGTAGAGCATACTTGAAAGTTGCTGAGAGAGTAAATCCTAAAGGTTAAGTATGTATGGTGTTAGGTGGTAACTAGACTTACTGTAGCAATTATTTCTCAATCTATACAAATACTGAGTTATTATGTTGTACACATAAAGCCAGTATAATGTTATATGTCAATTATACCTCAATAAAAAAATTTTTAATTACACGAAAAAGAGGGTAGCTGGGGTATAGAGAAAAGGGAAGAATTAAGACTAATTGATTTTTTTTTTTTTAAAACAGTGTGCTATAGGGACTTGATTTTCTTTTTTTACCCCATACGGATAACCAATCTCCCAGAACCATTCAAATGAAAAGACTGCCCTTTCCCCACTGATTTGTAATGTCCCCTCTGGTATATATCGAGTTTCCTTCAAACAGAGGTCTATTTCTGGGGTCTCTGTTCTGTTCCTTTTGTCTTTTGCTCTAGTACTCTACTGCCTTAATTACTGGAGCTTTGTTGGATTTTGTTATAGTTTGATAATTTTTCTAATGTTGTTCTTCAGGAGCACCTTGACTATTTTGGACCCTTTTACTTTGTTAGTTTTTTTAAAAACAGCTTTGTTGAGGTATGATTTATATATCACTTGTTGTAAGTGTATAATTCAATATTATTTGGTAAATTTACAGAGTTGCATAGCATCACAAAATCTAGTTTTAGAAGGTTTTTGACACCCCCAAAAGATTCCTTTTACCCATTTGCGGTCACTTCCCAATCCCACTAATGAATTTTCTAGATTTGCCTTTTCTGGGTATTTCATATAAATTTCAACATGTGGTCTTTTTTTGTTTTTGTTTTGTTTTTTTATTTTTGGCTGAGTTGGGTCTTCTTTGCTGCGCGTAGGCTCTCTATAGTTGCGGTGCGCGGGCCTCTCGTTGCAGTGGCTTCTCTTGTTGCGGAGCATGGTCTCTAGGTGTGTGGACTTCAGTAGTTGTGGCACACGGGCTTAGTTGCTCTGCGGCAAGTGGGATCTTCCCAGAGCAGGGCTCGAACCCGTGTCCCCTGCCTTGGCAGGTGGATTCTCAACCACTGCGCCACCAGGGCAGCCCCAGCATGTGGTCTTTTGCTTCTGGCTCTTTTCATATAGTGTAATGGTTTTGAGATTCATCAATGCTTTAGCATATATCAGTGATTTTTTTAAAAAATAATTGCTCCATTATTCCATTGTATGGATGTACCACTTTTTTTAATCCTTTCAACAATTGATATTTGTGTTATTTCCAATTTTTAGTTATTATGAATAATTCTGCTGTGAGCATTTGTGTATGAATCTTTGTGTTGTGGACATACTTTTTTTTTTTTTTGAAAATGAGAATTCTAAATATATTGTCAAAATATGCCTTGGAGATAGCACACAAAAGCAATGTTACGAAGGTACCAAATGCATAAATGAATATTCTCTTGAGGAACTTCTCATCTAAGGACTTTTTTCCCTTTTGGTGGTACAATTAGGAACAGGTCGGTTTTGTGAAACTTTTTGGTGCTGGTGGGTGGCTGTCAGTTCAGGGTAGGTTTGGACCTGTGTTATTTTGAAGTACTTTTTCCTCAAGCAGGGATGACTTATTTCTAGGTCATGGGATCAAGAGGTGACTACTTGAGATCACAGAAAACCTTAGGTTTCATCAAGGAAGTATTGGTAGGCGGAAAAATCAGGATGAGCTTGTTATTAGCTTTGCAGACATACATTTTTATTTATCTTGAGTAGGTTACTACTTTAGTGGAATTTCTGGGTCCGACAGTAAATACATGTTTAACTTTTTAAGAACTGCCACATTGTTTTACAAAGTGGCTGCATCATTTTACATTCCAGACAGCATTGTAGGAAGATTTTAGTTTCTTCACATCCTCACCAATGCTTGTTATTGTCAGCTGTTTTGATTATAGCTTTTCTGTTAGGGGTGAGCTGGAATCTCATTGTAGTTGTAATTTGCATTTCTCTAATGGCTAATGGTGTTGAGCATCTTTTCATGTGCTGTTGGTGGATTCAGATCTTTGCCCATTTTTTAATTGGGTTGTAAGCTTATTATTGAGTTGTAAGAGTTCTTTATATATGTTGGATACAAATCCTTTATCAGATATATAATTTGCAAATATTTTGTCTCAATCTGTGGCTTTGTCTTTTTGTCCCAATTTGTGCTTGCCTTTTAAAAAGAGTGTCTATTGAAGCATGAACGTTTTCATTTTGTTGTAGTACACTATCAGTTTTTTTCCATCATGGATCATGCTTTTGGTGTTTTATCTAAAAATTCTTTGTCTAATCCAAGGTCACAAGATTCACTTTTATGTTCTAAATTTGTTTTAATAGTTTTAGCTCTTATATTTATGTCTGTGATTCATTTTGAGTTAATTTTTGGGAATGGTGTGAGTTAGGATCCAAATTTTTGTTTTGCATATAGATACCCAATTGTTCCAGCAAGCATTTAAAAAAACTACCGTTTCCCCACTGAGTTGCCTTGGCACCTTTGTCAAAAATCAGTTGAACTAAATGTAAGGATTTATTTCTGGGCTCTCAGTTGTGTTCTCTTGATCTATAATGTTTATCCTTATATACTGTCACTGTCTTGATCACTATAACTTTATATTTGTTCTTTGGTATCCAAGGAGAATTGGTTGCAGGATCCCACAAATACTAAAATCCATGGATGCTCAAGTCCCTTATATAAAATGGCATATTTGCAAATAACCTAAGGACATTCTCTTGTATGCTTTAAATCATCTCTAGATGACTTATAATACCTAATACAGTGTAAATGCTGTGCAGATAGTTGCTGATGCATGGCAAGTTCAAGTTATGCTTTTTGGAACTTTCTGGAATTCCTTTTCCCAAATATTTTTGATCCACAGTTGATTGAATCTGTGGATGCGGAAGCTGCAGATATGGAGGAGTGACTGTACTAAGTTTTGAAATAAGGAATTGCAGGCTGTCTAGTTTTGTTCTTCTTTTCCAAGATTGTTTTGGCTATCCTGTATTTTGCTTTTCCATATAAATTTTAGGATCAGCTTGTAAATTTCTGCAAAAAACGTATGCTGGACATTAAAAGGATCATACACCATGATCAAGTGGGGTTTATTCCAGGAATGCAAGGATTCTTCAATATATGCAAATGAATCAACGTGATACACCATATTAACAAATTAAAGGAGAAAAACCATATGATCATCTCAATAGATGGAGAGAAAGCTTTCAACAAAATTCAACACCCATTTATGATAAAAACCCTGCAGAAAGTAGGCATAGAG